CTGACCCATCAGCTTGCTTCTAAGCAACTCTCGAAAAAGGGAGCTATCAACAGCCTTACCAGAAGGCACTTTCTGTTATCAACAACAAACAGGCAATCCGTGTGCAACTTGCACTGCAATCGTTGTACCGACGAGGTCCAGTTGTGGTAATGATAAGAAATATATATGACTTAGTGGACCGAAACATTTCTTACCTATAACAAATATTTTTTTATACCCCTTATCTATTCTAATATCCTTTTCCTCCTTTTCATTGTTTCCTTCTTCTCCTGTTATTTTCTTTTTAACCTTTATTAGTGGTGCTACTAAAATTAGAATTTCTATGAAAAAAATCTGCAGAGAGAATTCTTGTTCAAATTAAACTAACTCTGCTGCTATTGACAGCATCACAATTTGCGCCTATGCGTTCACGAATCGATGCAATTTCCGTCTTGGTAGCAGCAATTTCGATCACCAAACGATTGTACTGGGCACGTTGCTCCGGTGTCATGAGATCTGTTGGTGTGCCTAATCGACCATTTCCATTTTCACCATCATTACCCTGGAAAACCGGAAGTAGAACTCAGTACTTTATTATCACATCGTGGTGCTGCATCCAATTTTGAAATCTTATCCCTGTGTGTTATCCCTGTGCGTTATATTAGCTACCTCAGATTTAAAGCTTATACTGGCTACCTCAGGCTTAAGACTCTTCTCTGAGCACTACGACCGTCATATTGACGAGGTCCAGTCGTGGTGTTGAGCTAAGACATATATGACTTAATGGGCCGAAACGTCTTACCTCATTCGTCCTTCCTTCCATTTTCTTCTGTTTTCTATCTTATACACCTTCCTCACTTTTCCACCTAAGATCAACCTGGATGCTACAATCGGCTTAAGGACCTAGTCCAAGCTTCGCTTAAAAGTTATTAACTGCACCAGGAATGTTGGATCTCAGCGTCTAGTGAATTTGAATTGCCCAAGTGTAGAAGCATAAAAGTTACTAACTGCGCCTGGAATGTTGGATCTCGGTGCTTAGTGAATTTGAACTGCAAATCTACTTTTTCCGCTTTTAAATTTTAGAGCTCCGCATTTCATCCAGTTATTCAAGCCTGTATCCCTCTTTTAAGATACACCTCGTGAAAAACGCCTCCTTTCGCTGCTTTCCCTTTCCTTGGCAATATTTCGGTGCTTACCTCGAGATTTCACGTAACTCAAAATTTGCTGGTAAATCCGAAAACCGAAATTCGGTTCCACCTGGTTCCTGGCTATTCAGATTTGCCTTTTTCATTTTACAGTCGACTTTTCGTCACATACGTATACTACCTCCTTCCAAGTTCGTTTCAGCGGTCGCTTTAGCCCTTGCAGTCCGCCGGTTGTCAATAAAGCAAAAGAGTTATGTCCCTTTCAATAAATTTTGTTCCCTTTCCCCCCCC